AAAGACTTCTGCCACTCACAGAGACTGACAAAGAACTCTAACAGAGAGAGAGAGAGAGCGAAAGAAAGGGAAGGAGGAATATGAAATGAGAGAATAGGCTAATCATTCACTGTGGAGTCTGCAGTACCTGGTCCACTCATAAAACCGCCTCTCAGAATCAGCATGCACATCATTTCAACCCCATCAAATCAGCCAGATGTCCTGATGCGCCCATCCACTTTCAAATCAATCAACAATCCTATGAGAAATCTTATTGTCTTGGACAGGTGTGGGGCTTTTGGGGAGGTTTGTCACCAGCCATCTCTAATTCCATTAGACGTTGTTTACACCTGATATTAATATCCGTTTCGAGATGACAACGCTCAAAACAGGTGTAAATGGGGTCCAAAACGTGATGCAATCAATCGAACCACATTTGGTAGTCACAAATGCATGTTACAAATTTGCATTTGTAATGTAACTGAACAGAGAGAGAGAGAGAGCGAAAGAAAGGGAAGGAGGAATATGAAATGAGAGAATAGGCTAATCATTCACTGTGGAGGCTGCAGTACCTGGTCCACTCATAAAACCGCCTCTCAGAATCAGCATGCACATCATTTCAACCCCATCAAATCAGCCAGATGTCCTGATGCGCCCATCCACTTTCAAATCAATCAACAATCCTATGAGAAATCTTATTGTCTTGGACAGGTGTGGGGCTTTTGGGGAGGTTTGTCACCAGCCATCTCTAATTCCATTAGACGTTGTTTACACCTGATATTAATATCCGTTTCGGGTGTAACAGGTGTAAATGGGGTCCAAAACGTGATGCAATCAATCGAACCACATTTGGTAGTCACAAATGCATGTTACAAATTTGCATTTGTAATGTAACTGGCAATCCATCCTGATGCATCATGAAGAGTGGATGAACCAGCTACTCAGCTATAAAACAAGGGTTTTAAACTAATTATATAAAGCTTTAAGTGAAAATAACCAGCCAACCAGCGAATCGGATGGCCATTTGTGATTGAATCACCCAGATCTTAGATGTTCAAGTCACAGCCCTTATGAAAATTAACCATGGTTTTACTACAAAAAAAACATGGTTACTATAGTTAAACCATGGTAACCACAATTACACATGGTAACTGCACTAACCATAGTTTAACCATGATATTTGTAGTAAAACTGTGGTTATGCAAATGGTAATCAATAAGCCAAAAACCATAGTTACTACACTTTTACTGTAGTAAAACCATGGTTAATTTTCGGGAGTAACCAAACAAATATCCCACAATTTCTTGCACATTCAAATGTTCTGCTGGCTTTACCTAAGTCTTTTCTATTTTTGCATCTAGACTAAACTGAGAGTGCAAAATTAAGCCGAATACTTCAAAATGTGTGTCAGCATAAACCACTTTTTTTTCTCATGAAAGAGAAAATAATCATATTTGTGACAATAGCTGTCACGTTTCTTTCTCTGAGATAGACATCACAAGTGGCCTGGAATGAAAGCACGGTCTGCTCTTTTTGACAACGGAGATGGATATAACTCATCCTGAGCTGCGCTGCGCTGAATAAAGTTTCCCTTTGTTGCCGTGCTGTCGCATTGTTCCAGATCTCTCAGTGGATCGAAAACTAATCGCTTCCTGGAAACACTTGATAGCGCCGGCAGTGCAGGATGTATGTGAGGCAAAGCTAGGGATTGAGTTTAAACAGAAGAGGATGAGAGTGGTCAGGTTTCAGTTTCGATGCAACAAGCCCTCTATTATATGACACATTCTGAGATTGATTCCTTTTCTTTTCTTGTGCTCGCCTTAGCTTATATAGGACTGACCATTCTTCGTTTAATATTTTCCTCCCCGCTTGTGTTCCGTCACCTCAAATCCCGTTTCCCAGTTCCAATCTCATTTTTTTTCTGTATCTATTGTGAGGGCATGCATTCTGTCCATTCAGATATGTGGACTCGCACACCATTTCAGTTCCTCTGAGCCGAGGCAAGAGCCCCCCAGGGCTGCCTGGGGTCTCTTTACAAGAATAGTAGCTCTGCCAGAGGACCCAGAGCTTTCTCTGAGGTCTGTGTCTCATACAGACTAAATTTGAAAGCATTCAGTAATGATCACAACAGTACTGCGTCTGGGACCTCAAGGAGTCTTAAGGCATGGTGTCAAATGATGACTAAGGGAATGTCTTTCTCCTCGTGGAGTTTTACTCTGCCGCACAATCAGTCATAAAGACATACGAAAACAACAGGAAGTGCCAGATATAATGGGACAGTCCTGATGGATTGATTGGTAGGATCGGTAGATATGGATCGATAGGTAGGTGGATGGATGGATAAGATCAGATGGGTAGACTGATTGTTAGATAGATGGGTTGGTAGATGATGGACTGATGGATGGTAGTGAGATGGATGGACAGATGAGTAGATAGATGTGTAGATGGATAGATGGGTGGATGTATAGATTTATGGGTAGATAGATGTGTGTGTGTATATATAGATGGTGAGATGGATGGATAAATTGGTAGATAGATGATGGATAGGTGGATTGATGGATGGATAGTTAAATGGGTAGATAGATGTTTGGATAGATGGTAGATAGAAGGATAAATAGATGAGTTGATAGGTAATGAATAGATGGGTAGATAGATGGATGGACTGATGGAATTGTCTGTCATCATGGCAGCATGGTAAGCTGCGGTTGTGAATGACAGGTGATGAGTGGCGGAGTGATGAGCGTAAAATCGGGGGGAAATCTATCTGAAGAAATAGCTAAGTGAGGAGGAGAGAGAAAAAGGAAAAGATCATTTGACTGTCAATTAGCATGTCCGGCTAACAAGACGTCCTGTTTTTGCAAGTGTTTGCGGTGAAGGGAGGGGTTTCCTGATGATGTAAGAGAAATGGAAAGATTACATACCAGACGGGTAGAAAGGATTATACAACGGAAGAGAGAGACCCATTTTGGCAAGTGTTTGTTGATGTTGTGCTGTAGCTTCACTCTAGCTTTAAGCTGGTGATGAAGAGATAGATTGGTGTGTGTGTGTTTGTGTGTGTGTGTAAGGAGCTTGAGTATGATGATGGAGAGTGACACACTCCACACTTAATGCAGACAGTGAGAGATAAGGGCCAGACAGAGCTTGGCTGTTGTCAATGCAATTACGCTCTCTGCCAAATACACCAAATACACACACACAATGCACTTTCTTGTGTGTATCACTCTGGGGCACTTGAAACAAAGACAATGACCCCTTGTCTCTACACCGGCGAGTATTACGTTAGTGTCCAATACGTTTGTGTGCCCTCTTTGTATTTCTGTACATTTCTTTATCCCAGGCCGTGAATCAACCTTGAAGAAAATTGTATTGTTCTTTCATAGCTCAGGAGAATCAGTTATTACGTTCTCCTACAATTTCTAAGGAGAAATAAAAACAGAAAGAAATGAATTGAGAGAAAGTAAAGGTCCATTCTCACCAAGAATGATAACTGTAATGATAACTATATTAGCATCCCTGCCAACATAAGATAATGTTCTGTTTATTATAATTGCACAATGCAGTCTATAGCTGTCAAGTTCTTTCAAGTTGTGTGGATTCTGATTGGCTGTCAGTGTTTTTGTTGTTTATCAGATGGAGACCGCCATGTGTGACAGATATTGATAATATGAATATTTCAAACTGATTCTGCATTAATATTTATAAACACTGCTTTAATCATGCATGGAGCCTCTGAAATGCATCACGAGTTGTTTGTGTGAATCTCAAGCTTGTTTCGAGTTTGCAACAGCCTTGTGGCTACAGCAGAAGGCCTTTGGTCCACTCCACATGGGGTGATGAACGACCGGTGTGGCGTGCTCACTCAGAGCAGCATTGTCAGGTATGAAAAATGACATTACAGTTATGCCGTTACCATGGATCCTGTCAGAGGGCTTGAAAAACACCAGCGGTGTTCATGATATTGTGTCACTCACAGCTTGGCGTGAAGCTTGATGGGAAAACCAGACAGAGTTTTTTCTCTCTCTCTTCTTTAGTAATGATCATTTTCCTGAGGAACATTCATTTCTCTCTCTTTCTGAATTAAGATTTATGGATGTTACTGTGTGTAATTTTATGCGTGTTAAAATGGTTATACAGGATTGCATTTGCTTTGATCCTGAATATGTGACTCATGGGACTTTTAGTACATATTTAATCTACTTTTACAAGTGAGGGGTGTATAACGCTCCTATACTTTTTATATGAATGAGTAATGACCAAGGCAATGAAATAGGCGCTATACTGTTCAACATTCTATTGAGTAGCAGAGATAATGAGTGTTCCAGATCGTTCACCTTCACCACACAAAGGCAGATACACAAATGAAAGAATAGTTGAACCGTCCCTTCTGGGCAAAATACCAGTACATAATCCATGATAATACTAAATGGTACTTGATCTGTACATATTTTGCTCCTGATTCAGACAAGATGATACATTGAGCAAGTGATCTAATGCTAAATTTCTCCAAATCTGTTCTGATGAAGAAACAAACTTTACATCTTGAAAATTGACAATTTACTCACCCTCCTGTCATTCTAAATCTGTATTGCATACTTTCTTATGTGTAACATAAAATAGATAAATAATAATAATAATAAACAACTGTATTTTCATATAATGGAAGTTAAAGGGGTGCAGAACAACCCCATTGATTTTAATTAGATGGACAAAAGAAAAAGAAAAAATCTCTTTTGAGTTCCACAGAAGAAAATAAAGCTTTAGATCAACATGATGAGTACATTGTCACAATGTAATGTTTATCTTTTAAGATGATGAAACATATTCAGTCAGGTGTCTGTATTGCATACTTTCTTATGTGTAACATAAAATAGATAAATAATAATAATAATAAACAACTGTATTTTCTTATAATGGAAGTTAAAGGGGTGCAGAACAACCCCATTGGTTTTAATTAGATGGACAAAAGAAAAAGAAAAAATCTCTTTTGAGTTCCACAGAAGAAAATAAAGCTTTAGATCAACATGAGGGTGAGTACATTGTCACAATGTAATGTTTATCTTTTAAGATGATGAAATATATTCAGTCAGGTGGTCAAATGGTCCTGGGCTGTGTTTCTCAAAAGCATCGTAAGCTAAGTTGATCGTAGAGTCCATTGGTGGCAATGGTTCTACGATCTACTTAGGCTTACGATGCTTTTGGCAAACGTGCTTTTGGCAAACGCACCTGCCCATAGACCCAGATCAAGACCTTTCAATCATTATTTCTGATTTAATGCAACATTCCTGAAGGCATAACATGACCGGAAAAATAATGTTTGGCCTGAGAAAAAAGTTAAACATAATAAATTGTGAAAAGCTCCACATCAACCCTGCAGAATTTAAAATACACTGATCAGGCAGTCAAAGTCATATCCAACTCCCATGCATGCTGAAACAGCCCTTTTGATATTCTCCTAGTCCAGTCTCCAATGATAAGGATCATTTCTAATGAATGCGTCTCTGTGGTTTGACCTCCAGTGGAAAGAGTTTGAATAAAGATGTTCCTTTTCATTTTCTGTAAATTTATATGTGTCTATTCAGCTGTGGTCTGGCACTTAAACTGGCCGCCTGTGGGCCGATGCAGCACGTCTAACCCCAGCTCAAAGGTCCATTACAGATTCAAAGTGTTATCCCAGTGGAAAATTTTGAAGTTCTCAATTTCGACTGAGGTGTGAGTTTTATCATGCTCACAGGCGATGAACTGTAGGGGTGCACAGTCTCTAGACTGGCATGCAAATACGCGCATCAACACTGTCAGCTTTAGCTCACGGGACTGAAATAGATGTGACTGGTAACCATGGTGACACAGAAGCCTGTCATATTTTGGCGCCATTTCTCTAACAGCCCGAGGCAGGGAAATGCTCTGAACAAAAGTCACTAAATTGACTACGATGGTGTTGAACACTACTATTCTGGTTCATTCTGTTTCAAACACAGTGCATGGTCACAGTACAGAATGCTTAAATTAGGGAATCCTTTTAGCTTTGGAAATTAATTAAGTTTAGCATGCTGTGGTTTTGTGTGAAAACGAGTGTTGGTTGCCCATGACATTCCTAAAGTAGATTTGCTTTTCCTAAAGGAAATAGAACTTTTCTTTCACTGCCTTGCAAGCACTGCTGCTGTGAAATTGAAATGCTGTATCACAGCCACTTTGATGGTGAGTGAAAAGGTGGCTTGTTAGCCTCAGAAGGTTGATTTTTTTTGTTGTTGTTATGAACCGTTTTATTTTCTATTCATTTTCTATTTGCATGTATGTCAACCCTGTTGATATATACTAAGCCAGTATAGCTAAAAGTAACAGGGTTTAAATGTGGCCTTAATTATTCTGTCACTTGATTGGAACCAAATTTTTAGTGATAAAAAGATTTTTACTTTATTTATTTATTTACAATTTAACTTTGATAACAAGTTGAATGGTTAAACTCGATGAATACACTACAAATTGTGCAGATTTGTGCAAAAATGGGAATAAATTTGCCTTGATTTCTTGCCATGTAATAGAACGTGTCCAGAATATGTTACTACTTGGATATCACAACATTAGGATTTTTTTAAATGCAGTAAAAGGATTGGATGTAAAATGTGGGACACTGTTAAATATTACATTTTATCCTTAAATTTTGTTTATTCTGTGTTTTTAGTAAAATGCTGTTCATTTTATTTATTTTGAAATTTTATCTAACATATCTAAACAATCTCACAAACAAAGTAAAACAATCTGTTTGTTGGTTTTTGTTTTTGTTTTGTTTTCCATGCTACACCAAAGTTCACAGTATTCTTGAGAAGTGTCATAGATAAGAAATACAAGAAAGACGACCAATCGCAAATCAGTATGCAAATATTACAATTAATTTGAATGGGGAGATTCAAGCATAAATCTTATTTTCTAGCAGGCTACAACTTAAAACGAAAAACAAAGTTTAAACAGAATGTGCATTCTGTGAATGCATTTGAGCTGAATTGCAGAAAACTGTATAGAAGGAGGAGAATATCAATACAGTTCTGCATTTCAAGCAGTGTAATAAAGGGGAAGCGAGAGAGAAAAAAATCCCATAAACAATGAAAATGGTCTATAAGCACTTGAATCGCGTTGCCAATAATCAATAACGCGGCAGTGCAACTGTGGCTGGTTGCTGTCCATGGTGCTGAAGAGAAAACCCAACAAGCCTTGAGATCATAACTCTCTTTTTCTTTCGCACAGCATTTAATCTGTGATACGTCTACGTGACTAATTTGGAAGGCAATAGAGAAGAGGAAGGCCGTGCGCCAGGAAATTCATCACGGGGACGCACACACAAACACGCATGATGCTCTGAGCTGCCGCAGCTGTTTTGGTTCGGCCATCATCATCTTCGCCACCGTCATGTTCTACGCAGAGAAGGGCTCCTCCGCCAGCAAGTTCACCAGCATACCGGCGGCTTTCTGGTACACCATCGTCACCATGACAACGCTGGGGTGAGTCGAAGTTGTTGTGATGCGCAAACTAACTGAATGAGCTTGCGCGTATGATCTGCTGTCATTACTGCTTCAAAGCAGCCCTTTTACACCAACGCGTCCCGAAAAGTTGAGAGCTGGCGGAGATAGAACACATCAACGGCAGGGGGAGATCAATAAAACTGATATAAATCTAAGAAATAGACTCCCCCTCTCTCTCTCTCTCCTATCTCTCTCCCTCTCCCTCTCTCTCTTTCTCTCTCTATCTGGCCCGTGAGTCAGGGGCTATCCATTACTGTCTCATTGCTTGAAAAGACAAAACCTATCAAGCTATTTCATTTAATTTTTTTTTTTTCTATTTTAAATATTTTATTCTATTTTATGTTGTAGTTTTTAAATGTATAATATAACATATTTTATAGTTTTTTTTTAAATGAATAAAATACTTATAATAATTTCAATATAAAATATTAAAACTTTAAGCAAAATGTTACCCGAATACACTAGTGAGTGAAATGATTAAAGCATTGGCTGTGTAGTTCATATATAAATTTGCTGTGACTGTGTGAATGTCAGTAACAATGCTTTTGAATCTTTTTCTGACAGTTTAGGAATTGAGGAATACGGTTTTAGAGTTACTTCTCCCTTTATATCTCTGAATGTAATCACTGTAAAGGAGAACGTGTGCTTCTGTCATATAACACCTCACCAGTGTCAGATTGAGCACAGACTCTTCCTTCCTTTGGAAGCCTTGCTTGTTTATAACTAACCGTCTCAAAGCACCTGTGGCACAATGTTGTAATTTTCACACAGTAAGTGAACATACTGAGAGACATTGCTGATTCATGTGACGTTAAGCACTGAAGGTGATTACAATAATGCATTCCCTATTGATGTGTTATTCATTCATTAATCCCATCACTCAACGCCTCAGCATGGCTTCTCCAAGCCTCCCACCTGTGCAGAGCAGGCGCTCTCCGTGGTGCTGAATCTGCCCGCCACATGTTGCAGTCACCCCACAGCTGCACATTGTTGCTCAGGAGACAACCGATTCTTTGCTGGCGGATCGACACGGTCCTGAGTCACACTCGAGGGGATTAATCAAGCCCTATGCTCCAGTACACATCCCGCGCTTTGATCGGCACACCTTTGAAGTGCAGTACTCTGAGTGTGTAAATTGGGCTGTGAGTTTTAATCTGACGCCTGTGCCTGGCTGATATGTTGCACCTTTCAGACGTAAATGTGTTTGGTTTTGGAGTGTTTTTAGTTTTAAATTGGGGTTTTAAGACTTGTTTTATAGTCCAGTTCAACAATGTTTGGTTCACAGCATCTGTCTGCTTCTTTATATATATGAATTAAAGTCTGAGTATGGTCTTTGATGTACTGAATGTGACTAATGTTGTCTTTGACACAAGAAATGTCAGGCCTCCTCCTTTAGACCCCATGAACCTTTAATAATAAGAAAATTAGGTTGTCAGAGCTGTGGCACGATGGATAATGCATGTCCTCATGATATATAAAGAGTTATGGCTCACAGAGTTCGAATCATTCTCATTCCCCTTCTACTTTCCTGTCAGGTCTGCATTGTCCTATAAAGAAAATATGAGGTTTGGAGACAGCAGGAGAGAAAGCAGAAAAAAAGAGATCCAGTGTGAGCGAGAGAAAGAGAGAGTTTAGTTTCAGAGCGTATCGGCACATCTTATTGTGTGCAATTTGTGTCCTGCCGTTTCTTGCCTGTCAAATCGGATGACATCAATGATAAAATGAAATTACGGGCAAACGCTCAGCACCGGCTTGATGTTGGGAGTGCTGTGTGTGTGTTAGGGAGAGATGATCACTTGTCGGAGCCAGCTGGTTATGAACCATGTCTTCCAAACAGACCCACAGCTGCAGGGCTTCAGTGATGCAGCCCATATACTCATCTCCTCTCTCTGCAGGCAGGCATGCTGTTCCTCATTTCAGATTTTATTGCATTGCCTCAGTGAGCCCTTCAAGATGAGTCGCTACAGCAGAGATCTGACCTGGTAAAGTCAAGTTCACCCTATGACGAGCAATAGCCAAAGATTGGGATTTGAAATTGGTGCTGTGTCTTGAGACTATTTCATGATTGAGTGGCTACATTTTGATCTGAAAGAAAAGTTTCACATTGTAGATGTCACACAGTTTAACTTTGAGACTGTGTGGTTAGGAGGAACCTCGCCTCTAAGGTTTGAGATCTCATCCTCTCGTTGTCTTTTGACTGACGAGATTGTCCATTTCCTCTTTGTTATATCTGAAATCTCATTCCCTTCCCATTTCTCCTTAAACACACACTGTGAGTGAGTGGCCAGTCCAGACATTGCTAAATGACTTTACCTGCTCTGACTGAACAAGAGCCTGGCTCTCTAAATGAATGCCTCATTTCCCAGACTGGATGACATGGATGGATCTGTGGTTCAGAGATTTATTTATACAAGGTGGCTGTTTTAGATTACGGAAACCTGGTGTTGGGTTTGAATTACTAGTAATGAAGCCCTTCCTTCACCAAAGAGCAACTGATATCTGAGAACATTTCGCCTATCAGCAAGGTTTTGCTGACATAGAAGCCAGCATTAAAGTGAGAGAAAGTTACACTTGCTAAATTATACTCAAACCTCAGTCATGTTCAATCTGTCTGCATGAGAATGATCGAGAATTTTAATTATCCGTAAAGATAGCCTCTATCATGCAGAACTCTATGTAAGTTACCTGAATGCTTCAACTAGTTTTAGCCCCAAAAGTTATGGGTACACGCACCAGGGACTGCTGCTCCTCTCAGGCTCATTTTGATCCGGATGAAGTGGCTTCTTTTATCTTTTGCTCTGCTTAAAGTAAGAATAGAGCTTTTCTGTCTGGTTGAGTAAGATATGCCGGTTATCTCCCAATTGGCATAATGTCATGATGGAGAAAACAGAAACCGCATGGATGTTGTTTTAAATGTGGCTCAGAAGTTCCAGAGAGATTTATTCCACAATATGTCACAATGTTTCACCAAGAATTGAAACCGAAGCACAGTCCTGACCATGACATACCTTTAGACCAGGGTGCTGCAGGGCCACTTTCCTGCAGAGTTGATCTTCAACACACCTGCCTGAAAGTTTCTAGTGTTCCTACATACTTTGATTTGTCTGGTTTGTGTGTGTTTAATTGGGGCTACAGGTAAACTCTGCTGGACTCTGGCCCTACAGGAGCGAGCTTTGACACCTCTGCTTTAGACTCACTTGGCGAAGCCACTGAACAAACCCATTCATTGACTTCCATTTGCCTGTAATCCAGCATCAATATTCAGCCCTCACAGAGTCCTGCTCTTCCCAAATGGGAATGTGCAGAGCATGGAGGGAGGAGGCAAGGGACGGCATGTGACTTTCGTTCACAGCACGAATGGCCTCCACTTCACTGGTCTCTATTACCTCTTTAATGGGCTCATTTTCTGGCATAGGCTGATTTTGCCCAGCTCAATTAAATCAGCAGCATTTTAATTGGCTTATGCACTGTCAAATGGGATCTATTAAGTGAGCAGCTGTCAGAGCTGAAGACATGCAGATATGAGCAGGAGGGAGAGAGAGAAAGGTGAAGAGGGGTAAATACATCAGCTTTAAAGCACTTGGGTACAATGAGAATGTCTTGTAAATGAAATGTCCCCATGCTTCCAATCCTCCAATCCTCCAATCCTTTTTCGTCCTCTCATGCTTCTCCATCTTCTCCTGCTGGGTTTTGAAGGCACATAAAGAGTCCTACTGAGAGGTTGTAAAGAGATTGATGGAGTAACATAGAGAGTCTATTAAACTCTCGGAAGTCACCCTGCATCAGGTCAGTTAAGGCCAGATGCTTCAATGCCTGCTGGCTACAGTACGTATCCCCTCCCCGGGATATGCCACACAAGACAGGGATTTGGTGGATTAATCTTCCATATTCATTGTGGTCAACGCGGGTTAAGCAATAGGCTTAATTTCTTCTAAGGGCAAAGATCATAAGTTCATAGTGCACGACCGAAGAGGCTTTGGTGTGGTTTTCAACACTGTGAACAGGGCGAAAGGTTTCCTTGAGAGGTCATGCCAACAGGGATGTAGTAAGGTCAGGGCTTGGTACAGCATGTGAAAGGGACTCATTATTGTGTCTGAAAGAGCATGCGGTGTGGGGTTACCCCTCATTAGAGCACCTTTACCAGGCATTGCAAAGCATGCACTGATGCAGTTTTATTATTGATGATCCGGGGCCACTCATGTGTGTCCACCTAAGACACAACCGGGTGTTCGCAAAGACTTAATGCCCATGTGCTTGGCTGATTAAAGGGACCGTTCACCTTAAAACTCTGTCATAATTTACTGACCCTCATGTTGTTCCAAACCTGTGAAACCCCATGACTATGAACAGCCCCACTGACTTGTACGGTATGAACAAATAGAAGACAATTTTCAAAAGTCATATGGGTTTTTGAAAGACATGAGGGTGAGTAACTAATGACATAAGTTCTATTTTTGGGTGAACTATACCTTTAAACACTTTAGGTGGGAATCAGTGTTTTAGGTTTTGCGTTTGTACCACACAAAAAAAGATCTCCTCTAGCTTGCGAGCCCACAGTGTTCCACAGAGGTCTGGTTTATGATTGCCACATTCCACCAAAGTAATAAGTATTTAATATAATGGTTGCAGAAAAGGAAAAACAGTGTTTTGATGAAGATTGTTTGTTCCACAGATGTACATGACATGTTTCATGGTCCAAATAGGAGCACGAGAGAAAAGCTGTATTTGAAAGATTTACACAGTGGCACAGCCACAGGGAAATAAAGAGCCTAGAATGAGGTAATTAAAGGCTCTTTGTCATGTGGAATAACCCCTGTGGTGTTGCTGTAGAGGCGCTAACTCTATTCATCCATCCATTTCATACTCGCGCTATTACTCCACACCGAGAGGCTAATTGGACTAGCGTCTTTCTCCTTAACTCTCGTTCTGTCTTCCTTTTTTACTACCATAATTTTCTTCTTCAACTTTTCTTTTATTCC